ACAACAGTTTGGGTTTTGTGGGGTTTGTTTGCTTGTTTGTTGTCCAAATCTATGACTGATCTTTTTGCATACATTTTGATTTTTTTTAATTTAGTTTGTAAAAAAGCCTGAAGTTAAAATTATTGAACACCCTACCTCAACTAAGATGGTCATTATTTTTTCTTTAATCCAAGAAATAAGGATTTAAAATTCCACTGTTAGAACGGACTGTCGTTCCAGAAATATCTGTATAGCATGAACTATATGTTCCATACTAAAAATGGTTTGACAAATCTGGGAAAGTTAGAATGGAATAAAAGCTAGGGTAGGGGTGAGTGTTGAAGAGGGAGACTTTTTCTTAAGGTGGTTTCATGCTGAGTGTACTTTACACTGTTGCCTTCCTTTAGGTGGCAGGTGAAATTCAGGGCTCTTCACTTCTAAATCCTGAGTGCTCTGGAAATGGCTTTACATGCCACAATGTAGGACCAAAATGAACCAAACCACTTCAGTAGAATTTTTATTGTCCAAATGGAAGTGAGTTCCTGGCCGAGCATTCTCTTCTGCCTCTCTTGTGTCAAAAATGAATCTCCTCTACTTGAGACTATTTAACAGCTATTGATAGTTTTACTTTTCCATTTTACGCAGTCAGAATCCTCAAAACAAGCAAGCTTGTGGTTTTACTTTCTCTGACCAATAGCATTTTTTCCTCAGATGCTATTTGTGCTGCTTGGGTATAGCAACCACAGTGGTTTAAAATGTTAATGGTAGGTGGCAAACTCCTCATGCTTATTAGCTCTCTTCCTTCCTAGCATAATTAAAGATGACTGACTACAAAGTAGTGCACAAATAGGAGTAGTGATCTTACTGCATGTGCCTGCATGCCACTTTGGTCGTACACTGGGCTAAGAATTAGAAATGTTACTTCCTCCTTAACTGTAAAATACATCTCTATAATCTATTTACCATTACTGGTTGGAAAAAAAAATTAATCTACTTTGCCTTATTTTTAGACAAATATATATATATATATTTTTATATATAGTTTTTTTTTGAAGCATCAGCTGCCCTTGCTTGTTGTTGTTGTTGCACATTAGCAAAAATGTATGCTGAATTTTAACATAAATTTCCGACTGGAGATTGAGGAGTACATATTTTTCAGGGAATCACAAGCAAGATCTTTTGCTAAGATGAGCCTCATTTGGAAACAAGACATTTCATTTGGCTGCTTTAGCCAAATGCTGTGTGCCATGCTGAGTGCTGGGCTTCAAGTATGTGTTATAAGAATGACTTGCAAAGACATTCAGAAAATACATTCAAGAAGCAATTTTTAAATCCAGATGTTTCACTGAGAACTAATGGGACAGTTAGCTGCTGTGCTATTAAGTGTCTTTGCCAACCAGAGAATTTAGGAGGTTTTGGGGATAACAGACGTTTTTTCTTCTCCAGGTCTTTAGCACTGGTACTGTGTTACAGAAAATGCAGTAACTAGTCTGCAGTTTGGAAGCTGAGAACAAACAAAACACATCTCAGAGAGAAGCCCTCAGAAGGGAACAACTTTTATGGCTCTTCTATAAGAAGTTATTCTGGAGTTTCTGATTGGTTTGGCTCACTGTGAGTGCACACTCTGCATTTACATTACCTAGGTGGACGTGTCTTTCTTCAAGTTGTCTCTCTGTTATTTTCATTAGCTTTGGCAATGACAATTACCCTGGAGTCAGTAGATCCAAACAGACTGCATTCTGTTCTCCTGAACTTTATTTGTTTACCTGAAAAATTAATTTAGACAAACATGTGCTGTCACTCAAAAGTGAAAAAGCTATTCTCAAATTCTTACACAACTGTTTTGGGGGTTATCAGTGCTGGTTATTACTGGGGCTTGTTATTCAGCAGCTAGCAAAAATTAAGCCAACCTTTGCATCAACTATGTTTTGCAGTCTCAAATCACCTCAAATACTGCTAATTCTCCTTGTACCAATTGCTGGTGCTTTTACCTAGATGTAGGTGACAATTCCTGATAAGCTTTGTAATTACTTGTGTCCTGCTTCAGTTACATTCTGTGGGTCAAATCTGTTTGTGCCTCAGTGGCTAGCAGTGGTTGCTTAATTACTTCTCAAGTGCATAATTGTACCCATATGCCCTTTGGTACATTGCCTTTTGCTTTTCCTGCTCAAACTGTATTGAGGCTGCAACAAAATGCACTTTCTGCTCAGCCTATATTCATTTTCTAATAGTTATTAATGTTCAATTTGCCTAACTGAGCACAGAGCTGGTGCTTTCAGACAGCTATCTACAGTGATTACAAGAGCTCTTTCTTCCGTAACTACTCAGTATAGACCACATAGAGGATGTAAACTTGGGATTAATTGCTAATCACTTAAAAATTATCAGTGCACCTCTGGTTTAATGGGAAGATACCACTGCCACTAAGGCTTCTACTAGTTTCAATATTGTATCAAGTATTTTAACTACATACAGAGGAATGTGCTATGGAAGTAATTTGCAGCTTTTGCCATGACAGACAAAGCTTGACACGTGGTGCTCTTGTTTTGCCTGTCTTCCAGAAAAGGTGTTTATGATGAATTATTTAGAACTGCTATGTAATGACGGGAGGTGAAGAAGGAAAGGTACATCCACCACTTCAGTTTGCCTTGGTCTGAAATTCAGCAACCCACCAACTTCTGCAGCAAAGTTGTGGCTCAGAAGTTCCCTACCCTTTGCCGTTGTGGGTTCCTATTTTTTTGTCTAGCTGGCTCTGGATCCTACCTCACTAAAAACTGCACATTTTCAGCCTGAATCATTTCAGTGTCTTTACATAGACACAGCTCTGCAGACAGGTAGCTCTGTTAGTTGTAGCAACAAATCAGTGCCTAGCTTCATTTTTGAAACTGCAGCAGCACTGTGCTGTTGGGGCTGAAGGGAAAATTTCTTAAATAACTCAGAAAGTTGGCACAGGCAAGGATCCTTGAACACTGCTGACAACTTGGTTGCTGTGTGGCTTTAAAATGCAAATATTTTCTTGATCTTAGAATTTTACCTTAGTTTTGTACCCATATACCATGGGTAGGAATATGGCCACTTAGAAGTCTTCTGGGAAGTGTCCACCAGGGTTAAGATGTGTCAGGAGCTATTCTTTGTATAAATGAGTTCTTTGTATAAATGAGTTCTAGGTAATTCAGTCTCTATATAACAAGTTGGAGCAAATCTTCACAGAAATCAGCCTGTGTTATGCTGATAGGTATATCTGACTTTGGGAGAATGAAGTTTTCACCCCTTATTTCTTTAGCTGGTTGTTGAATGGAGTTGAATGCTGCTGCTGGAAAAGGGTCTTTATCTCCTGGGAAGCAGTACAAGAAATGCAGCTAATACACTTTTTAAAATACCGAAATGTATTAGGGGCATTTTACATTCTGTTTTTACATGCTGTATGAAATTCACTGCTGTCTGAGTGAAAGAAGGCTCCCAAGAAGTTTGGCTGTGTGGGATGTTCTTGCTGTTTAACTCAGTTGCCCAACTTTCACTTAATTAGCCAGGTTTTGTGTAAAAGCGTACTGATATGTATGATGGCATCTACTGCTGCACTTTGGGTATAAATGTAATGCCTGTGTGACACCTTTCTGTCTGTGATGTTATGTGTAATCCTTTCTGTGCATGGTATGGCTCTTGAAACTTCTGTTAAACACAATGCTGTGGTTACTGTTGGAGAAAAAGTACACAGAAAGATTTAAGGCAAAACGTGGCAAAGCAAACGCTGCAATTATCTGCAGCTGAAAACAAGTAGCTTTTAATATGTCCATTCACCTAAGAAGGGAGGGAGAATTATAGCCCACATGCTCTTTCTTTCCCTTTTTCTATCATTTCTCTTCTTCTTTTTTCCTTTATACAGTTTATCACCCATAATTTCAGGATGTGTTTTGTTTCTTTAAGCTGTTTTATCTATAGGCTTATGAGGTCAGTCATGTGTGAATTCTTTTGTTAGTCACCTCACCTTTTGCCTTGATGATAGAAAATTGATCAGGCCTAAAGTACAAGTTCAATAGACAACCCCCTTGGTCCTTTGTCTAGTAGAATAGCTACCATTGAAGGCCATGAGCAGGTTGCTATTAATATGACAGCCTGCTCTATCTCCCACTGTAATTTATAATGAAATACCTAATCTCCATTATTTTGATCCAAGCAGGCGATCCCATGAAAAAGTCTTTTCATCCAGTTCCCAATGGCAGTTACATGAGAAATGGCAAACCAATAATTTTTGTCAAGTTTTTTAAGCCAACAGAAATGCTTTTCCACTGCTACAGTTTCAAAAGGCACAGATAAAGCTCATTCACTGAGATGAATGAAAAAGCCATCTGGGGTTTTTCTTTTTGACTTCCTTTCCTTTTCTCCATCCTTGTAATCAAATTTGAGCAAAATCAAATGGGGCTTTCTATGAAAGTACCTTTTGTTGATCTGAACGAGCTGGTAATTTACAAAATACCCTTCCTTTGTGAGGAAGGCTAAAGAAAAAAAGAATCAGTAGCTTTTAAAGCTGGGCCTTGGTAGGACTCTAAATGCAGTGAAAGCAGTCTGTGTTGAGAGATTGAAATGCATTTCAAAGCCAGGCCTGAGTCAGGGTACAGGGAAGAAAAAACCTATGTGCATTTTATAAGAAGAAAAACCTGAATGGGAAGGGGAAAAGAGAGAGAGGAAAAAATCTGGATAATACATTAATCATTATTTTGGAAATTGTCTTCCTTACTGGCACATACTGCGTAACTAGTGATTGAGAACTTGGATTTTTGTTCTATTATGGGCACCTCGGCGTTTGTCTGTGCTGCTTTAAAGTTTGAGAGGCAAGGATCCTTGAACACTGCTGGACTGTGTTTTTAAATGTTTATATTTTTTCAACTCTGGGGTTTTTCTGGTTTCTTTTTTTTTTTAACGTTACCTGTGAAGTACTGTGGGGAGAAATACTTGCAGGAAAGCTGAGTTTATCCCTTTTTTGGCATGCTAATATTTATTTTCATTGTATTTCTGCTTACCAGATTTCCTAGTGGTAATTATTTCCCACCAACTCAGACGGAAGGACAGCGTGGGTGCCTGACAAACAGTAAGTTTATGCCTTGTTTTTGTTATTTGTATTTCAAGAATAACTGGAGAAGCTGAGAATGTTTGATTAATCATAAATTCTGTATTGTAAGCATTAATGCTGTACAACTGTATGAATCTATTAATGTGAGATACTGCAGATGTAATTTAGCTCTTCTTATCTCTCTGTTACTTACCGTAACTGTTTAGGCAGAGACTGATAACTGTATTGTTCTATCCTGAAGATAATGCAGCCTATTAAATAAACACTGATTTATATGTCGTATTCAAAGATCTGAGCAAGCATAGCCCATTTTATAATATTTTTGTATTTAGAGGCTTGCTTAGAATGCAAAATACTTCTCATTTCTCCACCTGTGTTTTGATTCTGCCTTGAAATGCATGTTAATACCAGCTTCCTGGCTGCACAATATAAAATGGTACTGGTGATTTTACAGAAATATAGGCACTCAGAAGAAATTCCAGTTTCTTCTTATTATTTTATATTCTTTTAAAGAAAACTCCTATGTGTTGTGTTTGTCCTGCTTAATCTTGTATCCTGGTAAGAAGAGAGGCGTGAATTTTACTGACTAAGATCTTACTCTTATTTTTAGTGAGGCATGAGTAAAAGCACGTTGGCTTTTAAATTTTGCTGTAAATATAGAGCCATGAAAACAATTTAGAACTGTCAACTTTCCATTGTAAGCTATTTGGTTTGAGTGAAACAGTACGAGACGTGATTTGTTTTTTATTCCTTACACGTGTATGGATAGTGTTGGGATAGAAACATAGAATGCATACTGTAGGAATAAAATAAGTGCATTGTATTTTAACATTATCAAGAATCCAAAGTCAACCATATAAAGTTCGAGTGCAGATTCATTGACGAGATCCCAAATTATTTAACAAATAGCTTCCGAAGTATTTTCTTTGGTCCAGCTTGACATCTGATAGAATTGGAGAACATCAAAAAGTCACTTTTGTATCTAAATTTGTTTCCACTCGTAGTTCCTGGTTTCCTATTCTCTTCCAATTTCTGACAGGATTTGTTTTCCCTCATGGTTCTGAGCCATTTGCTGCCTCCTAATGACTGACTTATAAAACAGCAAACATGGAAAATTCACAAAAACTTTCTGGAACTGTCACTGCTGTGTATCTTGTAACTGTCAACCATTTTTCATGTATGTAGAACTGATGAAGAAATTTGTGAAAGTAATAGCTTTGCTTTTTGGCGTCCTAGCAGAACATCAGACCTCTCACCCTGAGAAATACTGTACAAAGTGCATAATGGGAAACTTTCCTGGTGCTGTGTGGAAACAAAGATACAACTAGTTGACTTTGTTACATAAATCACATGATCCGGCCATAAGAATCCTTCTTTTCAAAGGCTTGCATGCTACTTTTGGTGCTTGCTCTGGCTAAACCATCTTCTCCCACCTCTCCCCCTCCCACTTTATAATAAGCAATCTTTCATCTTTTTTAGTTTTGTGTCTTTCCTCCTACGTACTTTCTTAAACTTTAACTTCTCTTCTTCATTGAATACTGTCAAACCTAATGTGTTTTGATTATTTAACCAATGAAACAATACCAAAGTGAGAAGAATCCTCATATCAAACTTTTCTTAATATACACTACTCCTAGCATTGTGCAGCATCACTTTACTTGAGAACTTTGAGACCTGTCTTAATAGAAATATTAAAAATTATATGGGACATACAGAGAATACAGATTTTTAATTTCTGTATGATTTTTTTTTCCTTCTTGTGAATTCTTCTGCATTTTTTAAGGATGTAATCTTGTAATTAAAGCAATCAACTTGAATTAGGATGAGAGTTTTTACTGAAGTTCTGAATTTGTTCTGAATTTATGTAATTTGGGGTGTATTCTAAACTTTTTCCAGGACTGAGCTGTGCTCAGTAATAGTGCTCCATTTGTGGCACAGTGCTTGTAAGCTGCCAATGTTTTCAAATGTGTTGGATCTTAAAGGATGCTGAGTGCCTCCACCTGTACCTGTTTCCAAGTTGCCAAGTCTGGTGCTTGAACCTTTCAAGCTCAAGCACACTGTGTATTAGAGTATGAAGAATTAGCATAATAAATCACTTATTGTATTTCTTCAGTAAATATTCTCCATCATTCCAGTCATCTGTTGAGAAGGCTTTGTAGGAAAGACTCAGCTACACACAGTGACTACTTTTTTTGAGATGTGTATAATTATGTACTTGTATGTGTAACTAATACAGTCTGTAATACATGAGAGGAGTTTACAGTCATGGAACGATATGTTGGGGAACTGAAGTTACAGCAAATAAGTTTAGAAGCACTTTCTCTGTTAGGGACGTAATCCAGTACAACACAATTCATGCAAGGAAATGCCTGCAACCCAGTAAGTGAGCTATTGTATGGGTTGAAACCACTGCTGAGCATAAGCAGATAGTTCTAGTGCTCGAGATTAGGTTGTTTTATCTGCCACTTTGGGGTTTTAATCAGACTGACTTGTATTGGAATGGGAAGAGATGTTCAGTGGACAATCGGTGGCATTTATTTTTAAATATGTGAAAAACGGCAAGAGATTGGGAACAAAGGATGGTAATTCCTCAATACCAGGTGCCCTATAGGGTTCTTCATTTCCTGCAAGGAAAGCTTTTCCTTTTACCTATGTTTTCCAGTCGTCCACTTTAGAGTGTATAACATTGTTCAGCTTAATTGGACGAGTAAGCTATACCTGCACAATTTTCCCTTGTTCCTTGAAGTCCATCCCTTACCATTTGAGGATGCTTTCTAAATTCTTCAGACTTCCCACCTGGCTTTTAATGAGCATTGTGGTTGTCAGTTAGGGTTGGGACAGTAATGCCAATGCATTATGATACTGCTATTATTCTGGTGTCATTTAGAGTATTATTGTGAACCTTTAGAACTGTTGCATTAGTAACATTCCCGATGCACCATCCGTTGTGAATTTGGTGGAGTCAGGCTTATAGCGCAGATAAAATTACTGTACAGCACAAACTGTGATAAAGGATGTTTATTTTTTTGTAAGCAGGTTGTTCACTGTGAATTCATAGAACATCTGCAAAATTTTCAGAAGCTTCTTTTTGTAATTTTGAGCACTGTTTGGGTTTTCATTTAGCCATAAGGAACAAGTAAATGATTTTGACTGTGGATAACAAACTTTTAGCATTATATACAAGATAGTACAGAAAGAGGTGTTCTTGTAGAGTGTTTTTAGGCTTACTTGTAAAACTTTTATTGGAATCTTTTCTCTTATAATTAGTGCATGTAATCAATTTCAGTCTGTCCAGTAAAATCAATTTTAGTCTGTCCAATAACAATACTCAGGACTTGAGTCAGTATTTTCATCAAACTAGTCTTTAATCTTTTCAAATTTCTTGTGGTATGCATTGCTATCCAGTGAAATTGTGTAGTCTAGATACTATTTTAAAGAAATATTTTCTACCAGTTCTATTCTTTTCTTTAAAGTAGAACAAAACCTCTGGAGGACCATGTTGAAATGCATTGTACAGCGTAAGTAATGTGGCCATCATCCAGTCATCACTGTCTCAGAAGCTCAACAATTTCATTCTTCTCCAAGGGGAGAAAAACAGGAACAAATATTGTATTGGTAGTTTTGTTGGTTAAAGGAGGCATTCTAAAAGTCATTCATTATTTACCTATTATTTTCATGTATTACTTGGAGACCATAAAACTCATGGCACTTGGGGACTGTAAGTCACAGTCTTTTGATTTGTGTTTAATAAGGAGGACCTGAGAGACACTCACAGATTTATTTGTTGCCTCGACGACTTCAGAGCCTGTGCTTGTAATGACATACCAACAGCAACATGAAATTAGCTGGTTCTTTCCTCTCTTTGTAGTTTGTCCTTAGGTCTAGAAAGCTGTCAGAACTGTGAGAAAAAGGAGGGGTCTGTTTACTGTCTGTATATCTTTTTTCAATTAGAAGATTAAGGAAGGCTAGTTTTCTGGGTAATGTCAAAATAAAGGCTTTTCATCATGGCTGTTTGAGCCTGTCACATGCTTTGGAAATGTTCTTAGGACACAACAGTATTTTCTTAACCTAGGTACCTTGCAGACCCACAAACTCAATTTAGTAAAGTCAGTGAAACACTTTTGAATCTACTGGGTGGTGGTGTGACTGCATGAAGAGCTCTTGAAATGTGGAGCCACTTCTAAGGTTAATGCTTGCAGTGCGAATAAGATCATCGCTGCCTACTTTGGGGTTGGCAAAATACTTATTAGGAAATCTCATTCTTCTTTATTTAAAAAAATAGAATTGACTAAAAAAAAATAGACTAAGTTCCATCATGACGCCATGGTTTGATAGAGCTGGTTTGATGGCATCTTTCTGAATGTAAGTAATTGAATATTATTGACTTATGCATGCAGAAAATATAAAGATCCTTGTGCAAATATGCCCCTTTTTAGATTAGGGGAGCAGTGCCTTCCGAGAGCTCTGTCTGATCTATCAGTTATTGTGCTCTAATGCTTCCTGTTTCTTCTGCTCAAATTCTCTTATCGAAGCTCTGCAGCACAATATTTCAGGTGCCTGTCAAGTCTAACAAGTAAAGTGACTTTCCTTGTGCGTGCAGGTAATAGTGCAAGTCAGGAGCATCAAGTGAGTGAGCAGCAAGTATGAACTACAGGGAAATTTGGAAATCATTTTGTTGAACAGGCGTGCAGATAACTGATTGCAGAATACCTGGGAAATGTTCTGATTTTCCCCTTCTTTCAACATGTTCTGAAATACTTCTAACAGCAGACAGAAGCTGTCCTCAGTGCGAACTTGTCTCACGCAATATGTGGGGCAGAGAACTGAGATTTCATGTACATTTTGTAAGCATTTGGTAACGTTCATAGCTTAAAGCCATCTTGAAGTTAGCCTTCTTTTGAGGGTTTTTTTTTAGCCAAATATGTGTAGTCTGTTTATTGGAAGACCATAGCCTGCCTGTGGGAGGGAGATGCATGAGGCTGTAGGCAACACGTAAAATGGGCAAAGGGAATTGTCAA